GATGCCGGCGAAACGTTTGAGAATGTATCAAGTCCACGGTCAGATGCTGGGAATCATGACAACTACTATGTCATACGACTTCGGACTAGGTGTGTTCTACATAGTAACCATGACAAAAAGACCAAGTTGCAACAACGAGGTCAACCCACTTCTTCTTAAGTTATGTAATTTCCATTCACGGCATATATTGCCAGTTACGAAGGCTAGTTTTATGCAAACTGATGGTCTCCATTCCCTCATATTAGAAATGATTGTGTAGTTCAATATTGTACTGTTCATTGCTAGTCAGAAGTACAATGCCAAGTTCATAATCGAAGGAGAGTTAATTTCGCTACCATTTTATTGGCAGGCTGCCTATCGAATATGAGATAAAGGTCACCAGAGGAGGTTGAGTCAAAGATTGAAAATAGATTGAGCCACTGAATAAAAACATCAGGGGATGAAGCACTGATAGTACATCTTTTTATGATAATGTAAGAAACTATAACGGCACTATTAAATATCACTTAGCTTTGGATCACATAAGGAATCCTAATTTGGGGTTGATTGCAGTTTATATCTTGTCCGAGGCTCATCAGCACCCCAAACGGGAATCAAGCCCTGGTCATGCTTGTACATTTCGACACATTATCTCTGCGCCAAATTACTACGAGTGCCAGGGAAGCTCAGAGCAGATGTGACTTCAAAGTAAGCCAGTCTTCTCCAATATGACACTTTTATATTCTAAGTGTCGATGAAGCAAACTTGTATCCTTCATTAAACCTTCACGTCTGACACATGACTCATTGGCATTCGCGATATTTTTAACATGCCGACATCCGGCTTTGTCAACGAATTCCTGCGCCATTTTGATCTGGTATGGGCCTACTCAATGGGATTCGAACTCGATCTGAGTGAGTTTACATCTCGAAACCACACGTACATGCCCACGAAGCCGAAGCCAAAAAGAGGAGCACAAAATTAAGGAAAAAACAACCGGTTCCCAAAGGAAGCGTTTACAAGACCTGGATCTTTAATTTAGTTGCTATGGTTATAACTATATTTACTAAGTAATAAATAATAAAAAAGAATAAGTATTGACAATAGGTAGCTAGGCTCAATTCCTCGAGATAGTTTACCTTTATCGTATTCGGGCTAGAAACGGCATACCGTTGGGTTCTGTTAACTGTAGGCACTTTGGCCAAATAGCTTTCCTTGACTCAGGCCCAAAATAAACTCAAATTTTTTTATGTGCTGGCATAGCTAGCCCCATTGCAGACGTCAAAGGAGCATGTTCTAAAATTTCTAACTAAAAGTTTTGAAAAATTCTGGCTTGCAGGCCTGAATTTTGACTAAATTTTCACATGCACAAGAGACCTATGAAAAAGGTGCTTTTTTTGTAAAGACTCTTGCGTTGTGTATCTATTTCTACGTTTACTAAAAGTCTGCTTGCGTTACTGAACACTATTGCACACATTCATCTAATATGGTTGATACGTGATCCAAAGGGAGACTTAAAAATGCCTTAAAAAGCTAATGCGTGCCTGAGCTCGAGTTTTCTCACCTCCCATGTTTAAAAGACAGTAGGATGATCGCTGAAGATAAGCAGATCGGCCTAATTTTGTTTGCTATATTCATCAGTTTTTCCATTTTTCTAGCATTCGCGAAGTTCCAACGCGACAAATCGAGTTACTTGGTAATTAGCGACTAGAAACTCCTGTGTTGATGCTAATCGCAGCATCAAATTCCTTTTTGAGTGGAGTTCCAGACTTTGAAGGACCAATTATTTGCATTTTTAGGCCCTCATCAGAGACAGATCAGCCAAGAGCTTTCCTTCCCGCCCACAGGAGGTTCATACTGTCTCATTCTATCCGAACACCTCAAGTGTGGACAGACATTGTTCCTCAACGCAACAAAAAGGAAGATTGAGCCTTCTGTCACCAATTTCGGTGGGCGGATGACCCGGAACTATGAAGGTTCACGCAATAGCACGTGGTGACAGACGAGCTGTGAGACAAGCTTTACTTGCTCGAGTAGGCGGACAGTGATTGTGTCTGTGTATGTCGGCCGAGTACTCGGCTAACTTAAGGGGGTACGTGAGCAATACCTCGTCTGTAGCATCTCCAAGGTACTATTTGCCCTAGCAACTGTTCACCACCCGCCATGTGCATCTGGAGTATCTGTGTCCACCTGATCGAAAGGTTTACTTCACTTTACTCATAAGACTGCATAATTTTGTTTTAAATAGCGCTCTAACCATTGCACTCTGAAGAGTCACCAAGTGATCAATAGAAAGACTGGCCTCCTGTTGTCAAAGTGTGCCATGCCAACAAGGAATATGCTATCGATTTTTACTAGGGGTACAGACAACTGGCACCTCGCATGCGACTCATACGATCTTGTTTGTACCATTGGACATATCGAATATGATTGTGTGCCTTTCTCCTGTCTACCCCAATGCCTGGCGTCTTCTTCAGTCCGCTTATCCAAAGGCCTTTGAGCCCGACGTGTGACGTATGTGAAAAAAGGAAGCCTAAGCGATTGTACATTGAGCCAGTAACCTTCCGAGAGCGAGTCTGGCGCCAAATTCTGACGCTGCCACAATCTCTTCTCATCCTGTTTGTGGTTCTTCGTCTCGAGGGCATTTTAAAGTGTCTCAAGATCGTCTGTAGGCGACTACCAAAACGATAGTCACCGGTGGTTTGTTGGCAGTTGCGGTGAAACTGCCTCAGCCGGACTCTAAGAGGTATTGCTCATCTAAACCGAGCGAGCTTAGGGTCGCCTGACGACACGGTTGGCACTGATTCAAGACCAACCAGGACCTGCCTAATTCACAAATGTTTTGGTCTACAGACCGGCTGGCAACCCTGAGTTTGAAGGAGGAGAAAGTGGCTTTTTATGATAGGAGGGTAGGCTGGATTTAGGAGAATCCCA